CAAACAAGTTTAACCAAAAAATATTTATTTCTCACAATTATGAAGGGTGGAGGGTCAGGGTTAGGGTCAGGGTTAGGGTCAGAGTTAGGGTTAGGGTTAGGTTTAGGGTCATGGTTAGGGTTAGGGTTAGGACATCGTTTGTCTTCCGATTTCGTATAGACAGTAAAGTTTAGTTTCCACCTCAGAAAGCTGTTAGTCACATGACCTAATCAAAATGGCCGACTTGGATGTGGGAGGGTCATTAATGTGGGCCACCAGTCACGATAACATCAGTAACAGGTCAGTTGGAAATGAAAGACACAATTCAGTTACATTTTGGGGTCTTTGTTTTTATCCTTGTGGTATCGAAAACGGTATCGAGTATCGAGTATTTCCCTGAGTATCGGTATCGAGTTGAACATTTTTGTATCGCGACAACCCTACTACCCCGTCCCTCCCAGATCCGGGACTTTCCGGGCGGCCTCACCTCCACCGTTCTTGTAGCAGAGGTACGGGAAACGCCAGACGTTCCCTAAACCAACGAAGCCTCCGGCCACCGACAGAACAAAGTCCAGCTTGCTGGCCCACTTCTCCCTCTGGGGGTGCTTGCCCTCCGCCTCATCCTCGGGCCGGGTCCCGGGACTCTTACCCGGAGACGGCTTCAGGGTGTCCTTATGGAAGTCCTTCAGGCACTGAAGTTTTTCTTTTTGAGCCATTCTGCAAAAGACAAAAGAACAGAATCGATCAGAATCAGAATCAGAATAAGGTTTATTGCCAATTAGGTTTTTGACTTACAAGGAATTTGCCTTGGTGTTTGGTGCACAACAATTCTATGAGAAGCAAGGAAATACAATGTAGAAATAAAAATATAGAACAGAAAATATAGAAAAAATAAAAAGTATAATCTTTCAAAATATAGATCTGAGAATAGAAATATGGATCTCCAATTAGTCTCCAAAGTTGGTCGATTCACCTTATCCCCAAACGCTTTTCGTAGGAAAACTACGCTTTTAAATGGTGTCGCATTTTGGCTGATAAAGTCTGGATGACATAAATAATAATAAGTAAATAATTTCCCTCTGGGATTATTAAAGTATTATTAAAGTGCTTCTCTCTTTGTGCCTATTTGAATGGGGGTTTTTACCAAAGCCAACTTATGCGATATGCAGTAAAAAACCCTCACAGACCAGTGTGTAACCCCCCCCCACCCCCCCAAGGCTGAAACAAGTCAAGTTAAATTAAACAGGCGCATAAAACACATCCGACATCTCGTAAAAAACTTTGTTTGATAGTTCAAAACAACATTCGGTTTGTTTAAAAGCCCGGGCAACCCGTTTCCTGGCCTCCGAAAGCCGCCCACAAACACAACTGGAGGTCAAAAACGGCACTTTAGAGTTGGATTCTGGTTGGATTTTGCTAGTTTTTAAGCTCTCTGCTTGATGTGCTGCTGCCTAGTTTCTCTGACTGCGTTCTGCTTCGCCTAAAGACGAGAAAAAGGGGCGTTTAGAAGACGCCGGGTTCTCGTTTTGGGACGGAAAAAGTGAAAACGGGAGGCAGAAAGCGCTTCGGGAGTGAAAAATAAAACACAGAGTAACCATTCGCCACCTCCTCTTCCTCCTTTTCCCCACTTCCTCATTGGGCCCAGCCCGAAATTTCTGCTCTGGCTCTCTGCTGCCCACTTTGGGGTAAAAGGCCTCGATTCCGGAGCGATCCGAGTGGTTTCCCTTCGAGCTGAACAGGCTTCTGAGGCCCCGAAACGCCGCTCACTTCTGCAGCCGTTTGCGACTCACTTCCTGAAGCGAGAAAACCAGCACGTGCAAAAACGGCTGTAGGCTACACGCTTAGCTGCTGCTCGGAATAAGAACGCCAAACACTAAATTTACCATAAAAAGAAGGAATCCTGCAGGTTTCAATACGCTTTGAGATCAAGAAAATGTTCCTGGTCCCACTAGAAGAAACTTCCAAAGCTTTCCCGCATCAAAACTTGGAAAATCCTCATTTCTGATGATGCGTTTGGGTTCATGAATGGAATGGAATTGCTTTGTTAGGGTTAAGTTGACCAGCGGCTCAAAAGGTCAAATTCATAGGAATCTCAATTTAGTATAACTGACTGTTTAAGCCTTCAACAAAACATTTACACTCTCCAGTTTCAGTTCAACCGTAAAAACGGGAAGAATTGATTTTTTCTCTCTTGTATTTAAGTTGTAGGTTCACAAATGAACTGAAAAAGTCTCCAAACGTGTGAATTGTGGTGCTAAATTACCTAAATTAAATAGTCTACTGTTAAAATTGAGCATTTTCCCATCAGACCAAGGGTTCAGGTTTAGAAAAAAGCAGTTTCCAAGTGGTTTGGTTGTCTAAAACCCGTTTTTCCAGAGTTTTACGGGAGGAGAGCGACTCGGTCGGCTTCTCATTAGCTCTGCGGCTCCGTTTAATGGAGAAACCACCGTTTAATGAAGCGGAAAAAGGAGGAATCGATTCGCCCCCGTGGAGGCAGAGAGTTGCAGTTCAGGGACCTTTGTTTGCTCCGAGTTTTAGGTCCCACCGAGAGATGCTCTCGCTTCCAGAGGCAGGAAAAAAGGGGCTCGGACATTTATGGGAGAGACTCGGAAAGCTGGTTCCAGGACTCCAACCAAACTCCCTCATAAGGAATCGACAGATTGTTTAATACAATTTGTTGTTGTTGGGCAGAGAAATAACAGAAAGAGACACAAATCCACAAGTTTTGGAAAAAAAACAAAAACTTTGCTGCCGGTTTGGCCGAGTTTGGCTTGACTTTTGGCCCCCGGTTAGGTTTAGGAAATGGAGGGGAGGGAAAGCCGAGCTCCGGGGGTAACGAAACTCCCTCATAAGGAATCGACAGATTTTCTTATAAAATTTGTTGTTGCTAGGCAGAGAAGTAACTAAAAGAGACACAAATCCACAAGTTGATGGGGAGTTGGGGAAAAAAAAAAAAAAAAAAAAACTTTGCTGCCGGTTTGGCCGAGTTTGGTTTGAGGTTTGGCCCCGGTTAGGTTTAGGAATCGAAGGGGAGGGAAAGCCGAGCTCCCGGGGATTTGGGCCAGCTCTGCTCTCCAGAACCGGTCCGATTTGATCTTGATCTCACACTCGGGCGCTAAAAAAACCAACGAAACCACTCAGACTTACCTCACTCCCCAACCACTTACATAACTCGCTCTCCTATTTTAAGACCACGTACATTTCCACTGGACCGACCGCCTACTAAACCCAGCCATCCATCACCCAGCCCCTCTCTCCTCCCATCATTCCCCCCCC